ATTGACATGCCCCATGTTTGTCACAGTTTTGAAGCACCAGGAAGTGTCCCATCCAAAACACTTTGAAAGTACATTGCAACATTTGCACGTAAAGACTGATGGTGAAATTATAGTTTCTAAGCTCTGACTGAGAAAAGGCAAAATGGGCATAGGTAAGCTTTTCACTCAAACTCAAATCAACTGTTATGAAACTAAACATGTTGCCAACATTGTTTACCGTTTCTGTGAGATACTCTTACTACTTTCACTTTCAGATTGTCAAAGTTAAGGCTTTTTGATCTGATTATTAAAAGACCATTTGTGCTGGTTTTTCATAAGACTTTTTATAAGTCATAATGCTCAATTCATGACAGATGCGCTTGTTACACATAGGCTCATTTTTATTAAATAATAGCCTATATAGTTTTAAACAATGCATGCTACTGTTTTTAAAAAATCATTCTTGTAAATGAAAAAAAGGATAGTTTAGTATTGCATCTATACCAACAGGCTACTCACTTGACCACATTTTACTTAAATCTTAAAGGTGACACCCAAGTCAAAGACTGTGGGCAAACCAGTCCTGATGGTGCTTGTTCAAATATTGGCAGTGGATGTTTTCAGGAGGGAAATAAGCACGGCGAAATCTACAAACTGAGTGGTGTGAACAGAAAACTAATTACACATTGTACTGTTTTTTTTTTATTTATTTTTTTTATCAAAGGCAAAGGTATTGGTACTTTGTAATTTCTTGTAATTTTTAACCCACTGGGTTCTGAGGGGGTTTTGGGGCCCCGGAGAAATTTTGACATGCCGTGACATTTGTGCTTTTTTCAGTTTCTTAAAAACATCTTAATGGCTAAAGTCTGATTACACTGTGCTACAATAATCTGTGAGCAGCATGTATGTAAATCTTTGTGTTTTTGCGAAAATAAGGTTTATGCGTGGTTAGTGAAAAAAAAAATCAATTTTTTTAAGTAACTGAAATAAGGCCAAAACATACAGAACATTTGTTCACAAGACTTTTTAGAACTGGATGTGGTAGACGAGAGTTTTTATTTATATATATAATTGAAAGCTGACAAAAAATAAAGAAAATAAAAATATAAAAAATTACACACGCACACAGACACATGTTGGTTTTTATGGTTTATGAGGACTCTCCATAGGCGTAATGTTTTTTATACTGTACAAACCGTATTTTCTATTGCCCTACACCCAAACCTACCCCTTACAGAAAACTTTGTGCATTTTTAGATTTTCAAAAAAACTCATTCTGAATGATTTATAAGCCTTTTGAACTACGAGGACACTGAAAATGTCCTCATAAATCACCTTCTCGTTGTAATACCTATGTCATACCCATGTCATTATACACATTTGTGTCATCATAAACCACATAAACATACACACACACACACACATATATATATATTGTTTTGTTTTTGCTTTTTTGTAATTCATTGTTTAAAAAAGAAAGAACAATATTGTAAACTTCATAAGTCATCACAACCTAAAACTGAGTGGGATATTTCACTGCATTGCAACTGTTGCTGTATTGTGACATGTTTTCAATGTTTAAAAAGTGCTGAATGTAATTGCTTTTCAGATATCTCTCTCTGTAACGATGCTTCTGTACTTTATTTGTATAAAACATTCCAATTCAGTTAATTTAAATTACATTGTCAAGATGCACAATTTTACCAATTTAGTTAATGGTTTCCATTTGATTCCCATAATAGTATGCTGGTGGGTGACACATAATGATCATCTACGCAAGTACGCTAGTGAAGCATATCTGTTTATTATGATGCCCAGCACTGAACATCTTGAATATGTTCATTCATGTAAATGTGATTAATCTTATTTGTTAATATTGTAATTGTTAATACTTGACAACTGACATGCTCACAAAGTTGCAATGTGGCAAAGAATCCAGGAATTTAAATTTTCTTGTTGCCACTATACGTTGCCATTACAAAGGAAAATTTTTTTTCTCGAAATGTAAAAAGTTTTTTTTCTCGAAACATAATGACTTTATTTTCGAAATTTGATGAGTTTAATCTCAACATTTTATCTCGACTTTATTCTCGAAATGTAACGACTTTTTTCTCGTAATTTAATGTTTATTTTCCATTTTATTTGGACTTTTTTTCTCGAAATCTAACAAGTTTTTTCTTGAAATGTAACTACTTTTTTTCTCATAATTTAATGAGCTTATTCTCAACATTTTATTTCGACTTTTTTTCTCGAAATGGAAAAGTTTTTTTTCTCGAAACATAATGACTTTATTTTCGAAATTTGACGAGTTTAATCTCAACATTTTATCTCGACTTTTTTCTTGAAATTTAACGAGTTTTTTCTCTACATTTAACGACTTTAATCTCGACATGGTTTTATTTTTTTATTATTGCTTGGCCCTAATCCTCTTCCGTACGATATACCGGTAGACACAATTAACCGGTAGAAATTTGACAACCAGTAGAGATTTTGAACTATGTCCTATTATGCACGCAAGTCAATTTGCGATGCCAGTGGTCACGAAAATGTATCGTTTGCACACATTTTTAACCGTTGCGGTTTAAAAACGTGTGATTTTAATCTGTTTTAATGCAAACAACAGCGGTATATGTGCGCGCTGTCTGCGATGTTTCTGAGCGGTGCGAGTATTTTTGTTGCTTTATTGGCCTTGAACGGTTAAATACACATATGTATGAATATGCCCTTCTTTGCAAGCATCCTTGTAAACACAGTCATTTAGGTCTTAAGTGAAAGTAAACACATGCAGTGTTTCCCCTGCCATTATATTAGGGGGGCAGCCCGCCAGATCACAACAGAAGTCATTTAAAGTTACCTTTCCGATAGAACGGGTCTATACCTTGTTCTTTTATTAAACAAACTAAATAGCCTTATGTTATTTATCTTATTTACACGACGGCATGTCATTTCGGTCTCTACTTTATGGTCACGCTCTCTGTATCACGCACAGCAGAGTTCCGCTCCGATGCGCGCACTCCCACTCCCACTAGTATTTGTAAATATTAAGCCACAAAACGACAATTTAAATATGAATTCTGCGTGTCTCTGTTTTATGAATGGCGCAGACACGCGGTTTTGTTTACTACTTGTACTGAAGCGTGTGTGACACTTGCTTGATTTTAGCTTCTGCCATCTCACTAATGAGGACATAAATACATGAACAACATCTCCAGAACTGCTCCGAGAGTCACTTCATGAGCATTTGACCGTTTAATTTGAGTAAAACTATCCTCATATCATATACACACAGAAATGTAAAGGTATTCACGGCAACCCGTCAAAATAAAAGTTCGGTTTAACTTGAAGGCATTGCGGCAGAAATATATTACACACCAGAATGTACATAATAGGCTGCTGCTACTACTACTACTAAAAATATTAAAACCTTATTTTTAAGGAATAATCATACAATATTTCTTCAATGTTTTAATTGTAATATTAAATGACTTTTATTTTCCAAGAATAAATGAAACTTGTTTTTATGCTTTCAAATAATTAGAAATGCTAAAACTGAATTTGGTAACAATAAAACATATGGTTGGGAAAAATAAAACATTTCCTAGGGCCCTAAACATGTAATTTTTGTTACATTTTTAATAAATTGATGTTAAATTGTTTAAGAATTGTTTGATTAATAAAATTGAATTTAACCATTAAAAAGGAGTCCAGAAACATTAACGAGAGAAAATCTCTCACTGCTCTTTACTAAATCACTTTTGTAACTTTAATATACATTTAATTTACACAGTGAGGACTATGCAGTGTTTGATTAATTTATACAATGTAAATAGCATTTATGTATTGTAGTTTTTTGTAATGTTGCTTGTAATTAGTTACTTATCTTCAGCGAGTTTTTCTCTTCTCTCTTTTTAGGCTTGTATTAGTTTTTCTGTGATATTGACAGTGGTGGCAAGAATTATGAAAAGTCTATTGTATCAAAAACTTTGATATCATAAAAACCGTATTAAAAGCAAAAATAACTAGGCTATATCGTGATATATCGTTATTGTGATGTAAAACTACTCATATCGTGATATTTGAATTTGGTCATATCGCCCACCCCAATCACTGCTGTTATAAAGCCAAATGTTATGTGAAATGTTCTTACACTTTTCATTTTCCTAATTAATAAGGATTTTTGGTTAGCTAATTGTGAGTGACTTTGAGGTTGTTGTTTTTTTTCATAGTCACCTATTAAATAGGTGGCTGCATTTTTCGCGGCTCATTTCCAGAATGCAGTTGAATTTTGGGATTGCTGGTGCTTGGCCCCATACAGCCTAATAAATAAACACAGTTGTTAAATATTCCTACCTGAAGTTTGTGTCAGAGTTATATTCTGTTTTGACTTCATTTCCACTGTGTTCTGTTCCTGTTTGCCTGTTTTTTCAGTTGCCTGTGTTTTCTTTTTCTTGATACATCAGAAAGAGTGTATTCATTGATTGGATGGCCAGTTTTACATGTGAAATGTTTGAATCATTGGCTTTTGGTAATATTATAATTGAAAATGCTTAATATGTATATGTAATACATAATGTGTATTTGCAAATCCAAAAAAAGCAACAATCCTGTCTCTGTAATTCATAAACAAAAGCAGTTAGCCATGATTGATGATTAAGTCTGATCTGAGAGCTGAACTCCCTTCATGAAAGATGCATATATATGATAAACATTGTAAATGAAATGGTAGACAGTTTTTAAGCATTCTTGTTATTGTCAACTATTTTAAAGTAAGGCCTTTATTCTGATAAAGAGAAAAGGATACAAGTTTGACATTACACTCCAGATATACTAGCCTACTAACTTTATCTCAGTAAACCCCCATTCAGATAGGGCTTTAGTGTTCACACTTGCACTACAGTAACTCCAATAAACACCAGCCTCCAGTGACTTTTGGGTTTTGTTGGATCAGTGTGTTAAACCTGTTAGCGTTTGATGGTCAAGAATATAAAAAAAAAAATATTATATGTCATTTATAATAGAACATGAAGGTTCAGGTCACCCTGACAGATTTATTTTGTGATAATGACTGTACATTATCACTTACTTATTTTATTACTTAAAAGTTTTATTAAATATATGTAGAGTGGATATTTACAGATTCTCAACGCAATATCATTTTGAAAAGGTGTGTTTTGTTCTCTGTTTGTTGCAGATGATGCTCAGCATCTCTCAGAGCTGAGGATTGTGTTAATGGGGTATAAACTTGCTGGTAAGAGTTCAACAGGAAACAGCATCCTGGGCAGAGAGGAGTTTGACTTGAAGAGATCTGCTCATTGTGTGAAGCGATATGGAGAAGTAGCAGACAGACACATCACTGTCATTGAAGCTCCAGGATTGTGGATGGATGTTCCTGTAGAGTTCAGCTCTGAGTTACTGAAGCAGGAGATTTTGCTCAGTGTGTCTCTGTGTGTCCCAGGACCACATGCTGTACTACTGATCATACGTGTGGATATTGGATTTAAAGAGAATGAGAGAAAAGTATTGCAGGGGCATCTGGATCTTCTCGGTGAGAGAGTCTGGAGTCACACTATAGTGCTGTTCACTCATGGAGACTCTCTGTTAGACACATCTATAGAGCAGCACATTGAGAGTGAAGGGCAGGATCTCCAGTGGCTGCTGGACAAATGTGGGAACAGGTATCATGTTCTCAACAATCAGAACAGGAGTGACCACACTCAGATCAAGGAGCTGCTGGAGAAGATTGAGGAGACAGTGGCACAAAACAACAGCTGCCATTTTGAAATAGGTAGAACTATTTTACAGGAGTTGAAAGAGAGAAGAAGAGCAGAGAAAGAGAGAGCAGAAGAACGAAAGAAGAGGATGAAAAAACAGAGAGAGGACATTAGATCACAGATGAGTGAGTCAACATACTTAGTGCAGCCACGGCTGTGTTTTGTTATTCTGCTCTGTGTTTCTCTGTTCTGTCTGTTTTCATGCAGAAGATGGACATTATTGAGAGACTTAAAGAAAAAGAAAAAGAACATCAGTTTCCAGTGAATCTTGAGTTTTGTTGGATCAGTGTGAAAATTATGGTCATGTTTCCTGACGTTATCAGTCCGACAGCAAATGTTGTTTGGTGTTTGTTGGTTAAAAATACTTAAATATTGTGCTTAGCATTTCATGAACATCATTTCTAATTCAAACATACAGGCTCAATGTCACTTTGGGGTCCTGATAACCCTTTTAGGATAATTTTGATAATATAAACAATGTTAATTAAATAGCATAGATCTTAGCATTCTTGTTATTATTAAATGCACAGGAAACAGGATGATTAGTGTGCTTTATTCTATGTTTGTTGCAGGTGAAACTCAACATCTCTCAGAGCTGAGGATTGTGTTAATGGGGTATAAACTTGCTGGTAAGAGTTCAACAGGAAACAGCATCCTGGGCAGAGAGGAGTTTGACTTGAAGAGATCTGCTCATTGTGTGAAGCGATATGGAGAAGTAGCAGACAGACACATCACTGTCATTGAAGCTCCAGGATTGTGGATGGATGTTCCTGTAGAGTTCAGCTCTGAGTTACTGAAGCAGGAGATTTTGCTCAGTGTGTCTCTGTGTGTCCCAGGACCACATGCTGTACTACTGATCATACGTGTGGATATTGGATTTAAAGAGAATGAGAGAAAAGTATTGCAGGGGCATCTGGATCTTCTCGGTGAGAGAGTCTGGAGTCACACTATAGTGCTGTTCACTTATGGAGACTCTCTGTTAGACACATCTATAGAGCAGCACATTGAGAGTGAAGGGCAGGATCTCCAGTGGCTGCTGGACAAATGTGGGAACAGGTATCATGTTCTCAACAATCAGAAAAGGAGTGATGACACACAGATCAAGGAGCTGCTGGACAAGATTGAGGAGACAGTGACACAAAACAACGGCTGCTATTTTGAAATAGACAGAAAGATTTTGCAGGAGATTAAAGAGAGAAGAAGAGCAGAGGAAAAGAGAGCAGAAGAACGAACGAAGAGGATGAAAAAACAGAGAAACGACATCAGATCACAGATGAGTGAGTCTGAAATTACTTTTATGAAATTAGAGTGTTTTTACTTTCATGTTAGTCTACAGTTTAGGGGGTAACTCATTACATGTAATGCAAGTTATGTAATCAGTTACCCTTCAGGAACTCGAGCTGCGTCAAAACGCTTTGGGAGCGCCCTGGCGAGACCACGTTCTGAAGCATGTGTGAAATCAGTCCAATGGAGAAGCGAGACGTCACGAGCGGGGTGACGTGAGCAACCAGTGCGCATAAAGGCGCATCCGGCAAACGCACATGTTAGCTTCTGCTCTTCAGCGAGCACGTCTATGGTGTGTGTGTGTCTGCATAAGCACAGTCAGTAAGGAGAAACTCTGTTAGAAAGAAAGCAAATATGTCAAAGTGTAATTCCAAATCTGTGGCGAGCGGACGGCATTTCAAGTCGTGTGTTCCTCCCTGCCCGCGCTATCTCTCGGGTGGGGATACACACTATTTGTACGTTGTCTGTTTGGGAGCGGAGCATGCACGGTCAGTTCTCGAGGGGGCTGACTGTCATGATTGTGAGCTTCTCCCGCTCCGTGTGTTACGCTCCCGCCTGGCCGTCTTCGATGAAAGCGGCCAGGCTCGCGATCCTGCTGGGTCCGGTCCTGGACCGGACTGTTATCGTGGGGATCGCAAGTGGATTTAGCGGAGGGATCCGAGACGGGCTCGTCCTTATCTCGGTCCTCACCCGCTAGATCCACGTCTCCCTCTCAGGGATCGGAAGCCCAACCCCCGGTTTCTTCCCCCCCGAGAGAGAGCCAGATGCTTCATCTGTCTTCCTCTGAGGAGGTTGACGTGATGAGCTTCGACACGGAGGAGACTGTGGACTTGCCACCACAGTCCCTCGCATATGAGGAGCTCGTGGAGGTTGTGACAAGCTTAACATCAATTGGCCAGCCGAGAAACAGGACGCTCGTCCCAAAAGCAAGCTGGACGAGTGCTTCCAAAAAGCTAGATCGTAAACCTTCACGGCAGGGCCTTCTGTTTTCCCCTGATCTCCATGCCGAGATGTCGAGATCGTGGGAGAAACCGTATTCATCCTGACTCTTCAGCCCTACGGTCGCAAATTATTCGAACATCTCAGGGCTGAATGAGAAGATATGGGGCCATCGGCTGTACCATGGCAGCGCTGGTGGCTACGGAGCGACACCTGTGGTTGAATCTGTCCGAACTACAAGATAAGGACAGATTCTTCCTGCTGGATGTCCCGCTATCGCCTTCTGGCCTCTTCGGTGGCGCAGTCAATACTGTCGTCAAGAGGTTTCAGGAGGCGAAGAAGCAGGCGGCGGCATTCCAGCGCTTCCTCCCTTGATGATCCCAGGTCTTCGATATCTAGCGATATGAGGAGCTAGACGGCCAGGGCTGCTCCCGTTCAGCAGCCCCGGCCGTCTGGCTCCTCATATCGCCAGACCCAGAAACAGAGCGTCGTAACCCGTACCCCCCCGCAGAAAGAGCAGGGGTCGGGGCGGCACTCTCGATCGGGGTCTTCGAAGCAGAAAGCGGATCTGCGGACCATTATTCTGTCTAAGAAGACCTCTGCCAAGCGGCCCTGACGCCACCATCATTAGGGCCCTGAGGGCAGCCCCCCTGGGGAGGAGAGGTACACACCTCAGTATACGGCGCCTGATCCTCCTCAGTGCCTTCAGGGAGCTTCACTGACACCCCTGCCACCCCTGGTGCTTCAGGGCTCAGTGATCTTCGATGAGCGAATTTCCCAACTGCCGCCCGGCGACGGTATGGCTCAGGAAAGCTCGTCCCCTGAAGTGAGGGTGCTAGAGCAGTTAGACATGACGTTGGGGGCTCTTTGTCGTCACGTAACACTAACGACAGACGCCTCCCTCATGTGCTGGGGAGCAGTCATGAGTGGCCGCTGTACGCAGGGTCTGTGGGAAGCCCTTCATCTCACGTGGCACATAAACTGCCTGGAGATGCTGGCCGTGTTTCGAGCTCTAAAACACTTACTTCCAGACCTAAGGGGACATCATGTGCTTGTCCGCACAGACAACACATCGGTGGTCTCCTACATCAACCGACAGGGGGGGTCTGCGCTCGCACCCCCTTTACAGGCTGGCGCACCAGATCCTCCTGTGGGCTCAGGGAAAGCTTCTCTCACTCAGTGCAGTCTACATCCCTCGGCACCTCAATCAGGGAGCAGACATCCTGTCGAGGCAGGGGCTGAGGCCCGGGGGATGGAGGCTCCACCCAGAGGTGGTGGAGCTCCTCTGGAGGGAGTTCCTGCAGGTGGAAGTGGATATATTTGCATCACAGGAAACAACACACCGTCTGCTCTGGTTCTCCCTCACACATTGGGCTGGACGCCATGGTGCAGACGTGGCCGAGGCTTCGTCTGTACGGATTTGCCCTATCGCTCTGCTCCTGAGAGTTCTGGAGAGAGTGCCAAGAACGGGGTCCATCTTCTGCTAGTAGCCCCATTCTGGCCGGCCCGAGGATGGTTCTCGGACCTTGTGTCCCTTCTCGACGGTTCTCCACTGGAGATTCCGATCAGGAGGGACCTCCTCTCTCAGGCGGGGGGCTCCACCCTTCACCCCCGCCTGGAGTTATGGAAGCTGTGGGTGTGGCCCCTGAGGGGGCACAGCTCCTAGCATCCGGACTCAAAGCTGAGGTTGTTGAGATTATACTCCAGTCCAGAGATCCCACCACAAGGAAACTTCTTGGTGTGGACAGCGACTGCAAGACCCAGTCAACTGCCCATTTGGTACAGTTCTGGAGTTTCTGCAGGAACGCTTCTCCGCAGGGTTATCTCCCTCCACTCTGAAGGTTTACGTGGTGGCAGTAGCTGCTTACCACGCTGTTCAGGGTGGTCAGTCATTGGGAAGACACCTGTTAGTTACACGTTTCCTCCTGAGGCCAGTACAGTGCACCAAGATGCCCTCTTGGGACCTGCCGGTGGTTCTGGAGGCTTTGTGCAATGCTCCTTTCGAGCCCATTGAAGATATCTCTAACAAGCTCCTCACTCTGAAGATGATCTTCTTACTCGCCATATCCTCGCTGAAGAGGATAGGGGATCTTCAGGCACTCGCTGTATCATGCCTGGAGTTTGCTCCGGGCATGGTTAGGGCATTCTTTTAACATACCCGAGATCTAGGTATGTCCCTAAGGTGCCCACTTCTTCGCCAGGTCCTGTTGTACTGCAAGCCTTTTGTCCTCTTCCCTTTCAGGAGGCAGGCCAGGAAAGACTCAATCTGCTTTGTCCAGTGCGAGCACTGGACGCTTACGTTCACAGAGCTGCCCAGTGGCGTAAGGCAGATCAGTTATTCGTTTGCTTTGGCCCGCCTAAGAAAGGGGCTCCAGCATCTAAGCAAACCATGAGTAGGTGGGTGGTTGAGACCATCACACTGGCCTACGAGTCCTCTGGCCTCCAGTCACCTGTCGGGGTCAGAGCGCACTTCAGAATATTTGTGCTGCGGTGGGCTGGTCCTCTCTGCACACGTTTATCCGGCTTTACAATTTGGACCTGACATCTACCCCAGGGTCCCAGGTTCTCTCGTCTTGATGTGCTCAGACAGATACACACCAGACAGTGACTTGCTTGTATGGCGCAGTGGGTATTCTCGTTCCCAAAGCGTTTCGACGCAAATCGAATTCCTGAAGGGGACCATCTCAAGGTTACGTATGTAACCATGGTTCCCCGAAGGGAATGAGATGCTGCGTCTCTTGCCATGCTCCCTGCAGGCACTTGCTTCCACAGAATCTAACATGTGCATTTGCCGGATGTGCCTTTATGCTTCCTGGTTGCACACGTCACCCCGCTCGTGACGTCTCGCTTCTCCATTGGACTGATTTCACACGTGCTTCAGAACATGGTCTCGCCAGGGCATTCCCAAAGCGTTTCCCCTTCGGGGAACCATGGTTACATACAACTTTGAGAAGATTACTTTTTTCCAAGTAACTAGTAAAGTAACGCATTAAAAAAATATCGAAGTTACTTTTTCAAATAAGTTATGCCAGTTACTTTGTTTTCCTGTTTATTGACTGACAGCTCTCCTGTCCGCATGTTGAGGAAAAACTGAGTAAATGCAGAGGCATTGAGTGTGCTGTGTAAACATGATGGTTACTGTAGTTCTAGACTAAATGTGAACAACATCTCACTTGCACAAAAACAGATTCAGCAATCCTCAAAATAAATAAAAACTCAGTATTTTTACACAAACCCATAACACAAATATCCATTATGTATTTAATCTCATTTTATAAACCAATGTTTTTGCTGCTGACCTTCGATGATCCAATTCAACCATACTAATAAGTAGAAATGACTTTACATAAACATAATATTTGTATTTCAGAAGAAAGGGAACTTTATTCTCCTGCATCCTAAGACTTTCGAGAATGAATTTACATTTCCTTCAGCCTGAGCCTTATTCATTTCACTTTTGTTGTGAAAGGGCTTTCACATATGTCAAAAATATAACCTTTTTATATTAAAAATAAACAAGCAAGCCCAGATGATCTCATTTGTGACAATCTACACTGAATTAGAGGGTTACTGAAAAATAAGAAATTATATTATTTTTTACATTTATTATTAGCCCAGATCTACATAATGCCATTATTACTCATTATAGTTTGTTTCTTCTTTTGTCTGGCGTTTCTGTAATTCCCAGCCCTTCCCTTTCCTCGATGCATAATTGGTTCCTTTCCTGTCTTTGTGCAAGAGAGAGATTTATTCATTGATTTAGATGAACAGATGTACAGTATAGATGAAGCATTTGATTAAAAATATAATTAATGAAAATAAATTATTTTACAGCATTTTACTATTTACCTTTGTTTAATTTGTGTAACTTAAGCTGTTTCTTTGTTTTACGTGCAGATTAATGAAATTAAAGCAATTTTCTTTTTCCATAATTCCTAAAGAGAAGTGATTAATTTACTCTTGATTTGGGAGCTGAACCTCATTCAAATGTTTGTTTTATAATCAATGTAAATGAAATCATGTAGTTCATAAGCATTCTTTTGGTCATTGTAACGATTTTACAGAAAAGCATCCATTCTTATGATTTTGAATAATAATCTCAGTAATTCCACTATTCAGAGAGAGATTCGGGTAAGCGGATCCACAAGGAAGTAGTTACTGTTTATTTTAAAGTATTCTCAGGCAAAGCAAATTTTGAAAGTCCACTGAAAACATATATTCCTACATTTTTTTGACAACGGCAATGTATGTTAAACGTACACGTTATTTGGCAACATACTTGAGCAAACTATCAATGAACATTTCTGAGGATTTTAATTCTTCCGTTTGTTTTCCCCATGCTGGACAAATCCTGCATGTATGACGTGTGTGTGTGTGTGTGTGTGTGTGTGTGTGTAAGTGTGTGTAAGCATCTGTATGTCTCTTGGGAAGGCACTGCCACTTAATGGGTTTCCTCAGAAATGTTCACTTTGATAGTTTGCTCAAGCATGTTGCCAAATAACGTGTACATTCACTTTACTTGGTAAAGTGGCTATGGTATTTCTTATTTTTCATCTCTGATTTTGATCTGTCTTTGAGTGTGTCCTAAGCCGATGCACTGTAACATTGAAGTACTCTGCTGAATTGTGTCACAGGGAAAATGGTGAAGGAGTGTGAAGCAGATATTCACAGTTTGCAGTTAAGTATAATTTTTAATAAGCATGTTTTGTTCTCTGTTTGTTGCAGGTGAAGCCCAACATCTCTCAGAGCTAAGGATTGTGTTAATGGGGTATAGAGCTGCTGGTAAGAGTTCAGCAGGAAACACCATCCTGGGCAGAGAGGGGTTTGACTTGAAGAGATCTGCTCAGTGTGTGAAGAGACATGGAGAAGTAGCAGACAGACACATCACTGTCATTGAAGCTCCAGGATGGTGGAGGAATTACACTGTAGAGTTCAGCTCTGAGTTACTGAAACAGGAGATTTTGTTCAGTGTGTCTCTGTGTCCTCCAGGACCACACACTGTACTACTGATCATACGTGTGGATACTAGATTTAAAGAGATTCACCGAAAATCAGTGCAAGGACATCTGGATCTTCTCAGTGAGAGAGTCTGGAGTCACACTATAGTGCTGTTCACCTGTGGAGACTCTCTGTTAGACACATCTATAGAGCAGCACATTGAGAGTGAAGGGCAGGATCTCCAGTGGCTGCTGGACAAATGTGGGAACAGGTATCATGTTCTCAACAATCAGAACAGGAGTGACCACACTCAGATCAAAGAGCTGCTGGAGAAGATTGAGGAGACAGTGGCACAAAACAACGGATGCCATTTTGAAATAAACAGAAAGCTCTTGCAGGAGATTAAAGAGAGAAGAAGAGCAGAGGAAGAGAGAGCAGAAGAACGAATGAAGAGGATAAAAAAACGAAGAGACAACATCAGATCACAGATGAGTACGTGTAAATTTACTGAAACTTGAGTCACAACAACAGCTGAACAACCCAAAAAAGATACTACTGATATATACATATAGGCAGAGTGTTTACAATATATATAAAGAGAAAAATTTTATTTTCTGGGCACTAAATAAATAGTAGTTTGATGCTGTTTATGTGTCAGATACTATTTGCACCTCAATGTATTATAATTAGTACAGTACATTCAGTGCTTGAAGTGGGAAAAAAAGAAGTGCCAGTACTCACCCCCACCCCCTCTTATTTATTTTTAAAATAAATAAATAAGTACTTTTTAATTTTCAGAATTCACAATAGTGAATTAGTGAAAGTTTAGTTTCAAGTAATTAAATAAACATTTTTAATACAAATAAGCACAAGTCAAGCTGTGATACCTAACAGGGCCAAAGGGAGACGCCAAAGACCACTAAACCTCCTGCCTTGACCTGACTGTACTACTATATGGATCCATTCAGAATCACTAAACCACTGACAACTGTATAATTTAAAACACCTTCAGCCAGTGTCCATTATAAAACACTCTTGCTTTTAAGCCAAATACACACTGAAAAGAATAATTTACTGACATCTGGACATAAGTCACTATTCTCTGCATTAGCGCTGTTTTGAACTTACTTTTTGAATTCGCTTACTGGATCTTTGGACCTTCCAGGAGTTGATTGCAAAAACCTGCTTCTTTTTATTTTGAAGTTCTTGTTTTCATTATAATGTACTGATTCAATAATTAATTATTTTTCTACCTCTCCTGACATGCTCTCGCACCCCACACATTAAAAAACCCCTGAGGTAGACTGACTCTGCTTGCATTCATTCACGTGATTTGTCAAGATGAGAGGTGACCCCTCCTGTTAGTGTGATTTATTGGGATTTCTCATCACCCAGACACTGACACTGATGCTTTAACTTTGAGTACCGGCAACATGTCAGAAGTGCCAGTACGCTAAAGACTAAAATATAGAAGTGCCGGATCTGCGTACCGGTCTGTACTAGCCCACTTCAAGCACTGAGTACATTTAGAATCATGAATGGATGTTATATGATTAAAAGCATCTGCTAAATGATTAAATGTAAAGGTTAATGGAATAATACTATGATTAAATGATAAATGATTATAAATGAATGTATGAATGAATGAAGAATCAATGATATAAAAGAAAAAAAGTAAAACACAATGCAAATGCATCATTGCTCTCTTGAAGCAACACACACACACACACACATACACTCAGTTTAAGGATCCTCAGATCCTTCATCCCTTTCCCTAAAGCCCACCCTTAATTTTACTCCTAACTTTAACCACACTGAGCCTGCTGATCAAAAATGTATCATCGAAGGTCCAGGAGGGGATCCACAATTTTGAGAACACTACATCCAATTTCATTTAAAAGCTTATGAAATATCTGTTAAACCCTGTTCTCACTGCCACTGGCATTTTTGCTGCATGTTACCAGTTTCTGTACTGGAAATGGGTATAGTTTAGTTTCAACCTGGAGATCTCCAATGGGCAGGAGCCTCAAACAGGGGCAGGGATCTACAAACAATAATTGAAGATATAGAGAGACCCTATGACTACCCTTAACCTGCCCCCTTTTGGTGTTATATCTATATATCTGTATACACATACATGTATATAAGTATATATACACTGTTAAATTTTTTTCGTAAAATTTACGGTAAAAAAACGGCAGCTGTGGTTGCCGGAATTTTACCGTAAAAAATACGGTAGCAACATTTTAGGTTTTAAGGTTTTAACGTAAATTTACAGTTAAATACCGTAATTTCATTAACTGCACAGAGTAGCATTATAACAGAACTTTCAAACGTATCTAGTATGATAAAACAGCGCTGCTTTACCCCACATACGCACGACCGGAAGGAGCGGAAGCAGTCGACAGTGGCATAATAAAAGCTCCGCTGCTTTCGAGCCGTACGTGTGTCGCGAAAACTTACATATTGTGCCTTTAAATAGTTAACATAATAGAGTTTAATCTGATACTAATCTAATACTGATGTATTAAGATTAATCTTCCAACACAACCTTCGATTTTGGCCATGTCCACACGTACACGGGTATTTTTATTTTCATGGAGTTTTTCCTTCTTCCGTTTTTAAAAAATCTCCGTCCACGTGAAAACTCAAACGCATGCTATGATGCACTGTCAAGAGCATGCCAAGCCAACAGGTGGCGATATAATCTCAACCGTAAAGCCATGTTGGCCCCACCAAATGCAGGTGGTGATGAGAAAGTCACACGATGAACCAAAGCCCATCACATGCAGCTTTTAAATAATAACATATATAGAAGGTCATTAACACAAACACTAAATACCATCATGTACCGTAAAGCCATGTTGGCCAATCAGAAGCCTGAAAATGTTTCCAGTAGTGAAGTGAAATGAAGTGAAGTGACATGTGGCCAAGTATGGTGACCCATACTAGGGATTAGTGCTCTGCATTTATCCCATCCAAAGTGCACACACACAGCAGTGAACACACACACCGTGAACACACACCCGGAGCAGTGATAACCAGGCGGAGATAACCAGATATATATACATATCTATGGAGATAGCAGTGCATGCTCCGACGTCACAAGCCAAAAACTTCGGTTTCGCTGTCACTGCAACCGGAGTTTTTGAAAATCTTCACCCTGATTTACGGTTATTCACTATAAATTATACAGTCTTTTTCACTTCCAAATACGGTATACTACTGTAAAATTACATGTAATGTCCAATACAGTTTTTCACCGTATATAGGGGAATTTACCGTTAACCATTTAAAAGGTTTTTACTGTAGCATTTTTACAGTCTTTTACCGTTAAATTCACGGTAATTACATACAGTGATAGTATCTACAGTGCTGCTTGAAAGTTTGTGAACCCTTTACAATTTTCTATATTTCTGCATAAATATGACCAAAAACATCATCAGATTTTCACACAAGTCCTGAAAGTAGACAAAGAGAACCCAATCAAACAAATGAGACAAAAAATATTTTCTTTGTCATTCTTTGAAAAGGAATAATAATGTGATCGGATTCCAACTTCATGTCTATTTTATTATTCAATGCTGCTTTCAGTTTTAATGCTGGTCCTACATGTATAGTCAAAAAATTTATTAATTACACTTACTTTAATTGTACAAAGTTTTTACACACAGTTTATATTGTATATATTATTTATATTATATATTAAAATATTTCTTAGTTGGGTCAAAACTATTTAGTTAGTTTAGTTCAGATTAGTGTAAAATATTTAACTTTTTGACATTTGTCCAACTTGAACAAATAAGAAAAGACTATTGTATTAATGTGAGAACAGCTACTCATTAAGTGGCCACAGCCTGTGCACAAGTGCCACTCTTCTGCATCGTAATCACAACTTTCATTAACATTACAGAAATTCCTCTAAATATCCAACATATATGACACTAACAGCTCTTTCCCTTTATTGAAAAACACATAAAATAACACTTAATCCCTAAATTTAATCTCCTAATGCAGTCTCTTGCAAAGCATGGTGGGAACTACAGAGCCACTGCCCAGTTAGTTATTTCAACAAAAATTTATGAAAAACTAGTTTTAACACAAATGAATTAAGTAAACATACATTTTAAATATATTAGGTAGAGTGAACACAATGATATTAAGTTACAAAATGCTCAAAAATCATGTTATTTTAACTCAATTTAATTAATTCAACTGAACAAGAGGCAAAAAAAGGCTTTTTAATCCATTTATTATAAGCAACTTTGTTTTTTTTGTTTTTTTTCATAATATTACTGATGTATAGACATTTGCATTTCCAGAGCACGGTTGTGTTTCAATCTTGCTGCTTCTTGGACCTCATGTAGCACAATAAATAATTGTGCTTGTCAAATATCTCCACCTATTTGAGCCACATACATAATATCATTATTAATGAGCATAGTTCTTTTTTCCCCTCTGCTTTCCCAATGGATTGTAAATGAACTGTTTTCTTCTGTGTGCACAAGAGCAATTTATTGATGTGGATGAAAATTTGTATAGATTAAATATTGTATTTTTTTAAAGAATTAGTGAAAATACTTTATTTTACAGCGTCTTACTATTAATCTTTGCTTAATTTGTGTTTATTGATGTTTAACATGCTGATCAACAAAATGAGGCAATTCTCTTATGATAATTCATAAATAAAAGTTATTTATTAATTATGAATTGGGAAGCTGAATTTCATAAAAGATATGAGACTGATGGCTGAAACATCCGTTACATGTCTTTACTGCATCTGCAGCCAATGAGTTTGCTTGCTCAACATTCAAATAGTCTGTTCAGTGTTTGCTCGAAGTGATCAGTGGCTATCGGAGATTCTCTGAAACCCTCCACCTCCCCCAGCTGCACGAGATTTCATACAGCAGCAGCACTTCTTACAATCAAAGTTACTAAACAAACTCCAAGAAATTTGGCATCCAGTAAGTTTTGTTGGCTCAGTGTATTAGTGATTGACTTGCTTAAAAACTACACTTGTTTCATGTACATCATGTCACTGCAACCGGAGTTTTTGAAAATCTTCACCCTGGCAGGCGTTTTCAAAAATGTTCGGTTTCAGTGACCTGGTGCAACGTTTGCGTGTGGACGAACGGCCAAACCGCTTAGAAAAAGCTGCGGTTTTGAAAATAACCGTCAGGTACAACCCTGTTTAACTTGAATAGGAAACCAAGAGCCACAATGTGCTGTGGTAAATAAAGGTTTATCATCTGAACAGATCATAAGGCACATTACCTGTGTCTGGTGTTCAATTGTTTTAAGCCTTTGATTCTCTAAATGTCAGATTTATGTTAAACTTTTCTGTTCTCATGAAATGATAAAACAGATTTTTGAATTCCAAGTATCTTTTTATAAATGTGCCTACTACCTAATACATAAATGTAGTGTCAGTGTTCTACTATTGATCTGCTTTCTTGCATTATTGCAGTCAGTGATGCTGAAGGATCTGATTCGTGCTCTCTGGCAAGTTCTGGTTACGGTTCATCTGAAGCAGACGTCAGGTCAATTTTTGGGTCTTCACATTCCAAAGATACATCTCTCATAAGCAGATTCAAGTCAGGGGTCCTGAAAATATTTAACAGCAAGGAATTCACACCACCACTGAGTGAGTGTCTTTTGTTTTATTTGACACATTCCACTTATACCCAGAATATACACATTACATTTGATAAAACATACAAGGCACAAATTCCATATTATTTATATTTTAGACAAACCTACTTATCTTAAAATGTTTTCTGAAGGTTAAGTTTTAAACCTTCAAATCTGCATTAATGTAATTTATGATCAAGCCATTAAATTAATAATAATTAAAAATCAATATATCAAATAGACAGAATCTTTTTTATAAATCCAACTTGATTATTATTTGGGTAATGTTTTGCCCTCATGCTTCATGTACTTATTCCATGCAGAATTCCCCTTTTTAATTCCCTTTTCTTTTTGCAGTGAGTGGAGATGAGAAGTCGAACACATCGTCTCTGGGAAGTTCAGAAGCACACATCAGGTCTTCACATTCCAGAGATTCATCTCACACAAGAAGATATGAGTCCAGTGTCCTAAAAATACATAGCATGGGGTTCACACCACCACTGAGTGAGTATCTTTTGTTTTATTTGGCACTTTCCACCAATACTGTACACTCTGGTGTACCCTGACAGTTTTATTATAGCACAAGAGGCATAAATCCCATGTCATTTGTAGTGAGACCTGTTAGATATTTTAGACAAACTTTAAATGCTGATTGTGGCATCACCTTTTGACCTTCTCGAAAATTAAGCCTATACATTTATAATCTGTGAACTGATATTGAATTTGTTGTAAAACAAACTATTAATTATTGGCATATTAAAAAATGATTGATTTGACATTCGGACATTTTATGTCTGACGTGGCTTTCTACATCATGATGTGGAGATAAACTATTTCCATTGCCTCAATTTTACACAAATTGTCTTTTTTTTTTTGCAATATAATTTGATCTTGATATTAGTAAAGTGTTATCTAGTGGAAAATGAATGCAAGATCTGTAGTACTAATATTTACTCCATGTACTTATTCGATGCAGTAGGCTACATCATTTTTAGAAAACACCGAAAGTGAATTGTTTCTATTTTTTCCCCAGCGAGTGGAGATGAGCGGTCGGACTCATGGTCTGTGGGAAGTTCTGCTTACGGTTCATTCAGCTCACTATCAGGAGAAGACGGCAGTTCAGTTTTTAGCTCATCACACTCAAAAGTCTCATCTCACAGCTCAGGATTGGGGTCTTTGCAGCCCATTTCTCACTCTGTTGAACATTCAAGAACCAAAAGAACACAGGATGTGCCCAAGGTCTCAAAATATGAGCATAAAGACACTGATTTAGACACTGACGTGAAGTGATGGCTGAATAATCATGTTTAACTGTAACATATACAAAACAGCTTAAAGTAATAATCAAATGATTCTATAAATAAGTGTTCTTTATTTTAAAAACAGAACAATAGGTCATTTTTGGTGTTATAATATCATAATACATTTTCTACAGATTGATCTACAATATCACAATTTCTCTGTAGTTTATCTACATAATCAGTGTTTCCCTGTACTTGTCACATTTTTCCAAATTAAGGCTTTAAATAAATTGTCATGCAGTTTATCAGGACTGCAGGATCAACCTGTAATCCCTGCCAAAAATATTAACTATTTATCCTCGTCTAGAACAGATTTTATTATCGTCCCTAGGTTTAATGGATTAATGATCAAACTCCAATTATTTGTTTCAATTACAGCAGCCAGTTTTGTTGTATTTTCGGACAGACCTGCAAAATAGGGAAATAGCCATTAAAGTGCCTGTCTGCAGTGCTCGTATACTTATAACCTTTTGTTGTGTTTGATTTTGTATGTTACAATCATTTTTTTCCTTTTTTTTTTTGGTTAAAAAAAATTATAATCCTTAACTTGCAGGTATCTGTAGAAGTCAGTAACATAAGATGTGCTGTCTATATATTATATCAGAATACTTATTTTAAAATATGTGCATGCATTATATTTTTACCAAAAATTCATAAAGGACATGTCACTTTTTAACTTTGTCATGTCTTTGTTACTTTAGTTTGCATTAGCTGAGACATGTGCCTTCTTGATGGTAGTAAGACCTTAGAAAAACCAAGACTTAATATTACACTCATTAAAACTGGTTATTATTCAAGGGCATTCTAAAAATGTCAGCTAAATCAATATATGAAAACTCTTTTTATAGCATTTGATTTCATATTTCAAATGGCAGTAATGATGGTGCTTTTACATTCAAATACTGCACATAAAAATATTTAAGATATTTGTAAAGGTCAAGAAAAGTGCTCGTCCATTTTTAACCTTACAAGAAACGCTATAAATATAAGCATCAGCACATACAGGAATATTTCATTTGAGATGTTACACAACTGAGGTCCTGAGCATTACAAGTCATTTTAGCCCCCAAACACCAGCAAATACAGTGAAATGTGTTTAACGTGAATCTCATAAGTGAAATCCTTTACAGTGATACAGGAAATGTAAACGCAAACATCCCAGAAGATGTGACCACAAGCCTCTATTCTGTTCTGTAGTTTCCATGACCACATCACTGGTGTGTTTTTAAACTGGTGTCAGGAAGTTCAGGTTGAGGCTGCTGGGGATCTGGATGGTCTCAAGGGCCACAGGTGAAAGGTTGAAGGGGAAGGTGACTGGGAAAATGATCTTAGCGTCCATCAGTAACTGAGAAGACTCCTTACGATCCTTTAATAAAGTCTAGAGAGAATGGAGAAGTGTTTTACCATGTAAATCCAACAATAGCTGCCATGCATTTTTTATGCAATTATTATATTAATTATATCAACATAACTTGAGTGAAACAAAACCATGCAAAATGTAAAGAAAAAACGATGCCTTTCCATTACGCCAGCATGATTGGTCTGTTAAATCCTAATCATTCTATGTGATAAAATTTTATATATAATATAAATAAAAAAAGGTTGTTTTACAGGTTTTAGAAAAAGTTCTATAAGACACAATTTTTTTTAATTGTACACACACATAGGCTATACTTGTATATTGGTATAAATGGTATGAATTTTTTTTTTTTTTTTCAAGATTATGATTAGCGTCCATCAGTAACTGAGAAGACTCCTTACGATCCTTTAATAAAGTCTAGAGAGAATGGAGAAGTGTTTTACCATATAAATTCAACAATAGCTGCTTTAAAATACATTTAAAAACATTGAGAAATGACTCACCTGTACAGACTTTATGAATAATATAGACACTCTCTCCTCAAACTCATTCACTGGTGTGTACAAGCTGAGGATTTTCACAATCTGTCCCAGAAAGAAACACAGAACATCAGAATTAAACTGAAGGTTTCAGCTCTGTTCAGCTCTCTCTCACACACACACACACGCACCTGTTCAGTGGTGAGAGCTGTACACATGGTGCAGATGGCCTCTGCGTCGTCCTGGCTCTTCTTTTTGATCTGCAGAAGCTGAGCCGCCTGAATCAGAGGCTCCAGAGACTCACGCGCTCCACTGCCCTGAACATCTTTATCCAGCAACCACTCCTCCAGCTGACATACATTATACCTTATAAGAAGAAAATACATCAATAATAAAAAAAAAAACTTATACACAGAATTCTATAAATTCGTTTTTTTAAATTTTTTTTTTTATAGAAACTAGAATTATGAATAATTTTAATGTAATATAATTTGTATTAAAATGTAAACATTATATATGTGCAAAAAATATAATAATAATAATAGGCCTATATAATACTCCAGTAAATATTTGTGCTTCTGGTATAAATGGTTTGAATTTTTTTTTTTTTTTTTCAAGATTATGATTAACATTTTTTTCAACCCAGACTACCCTCACGTCTAGTGGCCTCTAGTGGCCAGTACCTGATCTGCAGGCCTTTACTCCAGGAGCACATGTCCTTGCGGAGCAGCAAGTTGTTGAGCGTGACAGAGCAGATGGCGTAGAACAGCTGTTTGATGACCTGTCGGACCAGCTCGGTGTCATTGCCGTGCTGAAGCAGTGTGTAATAAAACACATCCAGCTGCTTCAGAATGGACTCCAGCGAGTGAGAGCGCTCCTCATAGACACTGGACGTGCGCTTCCTCATTCCTGTGGGCTTCACGCCCATCACGCCCTGAATGGTCTCCTGCTCCAGCATGGCTGGTGCTAGAATGAGGAGAAGAGGGAATGATCGAGCAGAATGTGTCTATTAAATATTAAAATATTTATAACCAGAGCATGCAGCATTACCAATCTTGGGGTGTAAAATGTTTTCTATGACCCTGATGAGCTGCTGGTAGATCTGAATAGCCAGATCACTCAGAACCTGCTGGTACTCCGACAGGTCAAAGTTTGTCAGACAGTGTTCGTTCTGCCGAGGCGTGTTGTGCTTTGTGTACGCCTAAAAGAGGTCAGAAAGAAATAACATATTAGGTCAGCATTCATACAGCAGTAAATAATTACAAATATAACAATAAAAGCATACATATCCATGTGTACAGACACACAGAGGCACTGTCCCAAACCTTTCTTCCTTCTCTCAACATTTACAGCTTCCTTCACAAAGCTAAAGGTTTTAGCATCTTTTTTTATCAGAATCCTCTAATGTAGCATCTAAGGAACCTCAAATAACTAAACTGAAATTTACAAGTAACTCACCCAAACACTGATTACTGATTTGTTGCAATGCATTCTGGGATTGCATTTCTTGTGAAGGACTTGTTTGGTCAGGACGAGATATTTAATAAATGCTGCTGCCATTTTTCTGCTAATTTTTTTTAGAACAATCTTCATGTTAGGAGTGTAATACTGATGCCTGAAATGCTGTCTAGGTAGGCAGCACACTTGGGTTTGAAACGCAACACACAACCTACCTCCTCTCCACTGTACTGCCTCAGGCAATGTAAGAAGCGGCATGTGTTTGCCAACCAGAAGGAAATGGTTTCAAAATCTCCATGTTTCTGCAAAGATAATAAGTTATTATATTACTTACAGAAAGTTCACAGCATGTTTGTTTAATCGAAATAATCTGGACCACATTTTTCATATTAAATGGTTCACTATCATCTCAGTGGATTCATATTCCAGCATTTCCTGACTGAGAGAGTCTCTAACCTTCAGCACGTTCTTGATGGTGTTGATGGAGGAGTTCAGCAGGGTGGAGACCCGCTGGTCATCGTCGGCGTAGTCGGCGTGCCGCAGACACATGAAGAGAATGTAAGCAGGCAGACCTGGGACCAGATTCACCGCCACACCTCGGGGTTTGAGCTCTGTGGATGAATGTTCAAAATAACCGAAAACCACTCTTTTCAATGGAATACAAGTTACAGCCTTCAGCAAAAAAAGACTTTCCTTTTAACTTTGATTTGATAAAGCAAAAGAAAGTAACTATATACATCTGTATTGTTTTAGTCTCTCTGCTGACATTATATTAATGCTGTTCAGATCACCTGTGATGAGTATCTTGAACAGTTTGCTCTCGTCTTCTCTCCTGTACTCCAGCATGCCTTGGAAATCCCTCTCTTTGCGAACGATGCTGACCGTGCGACCGCTCTCGCCAACCATGTTCTCTGGAGGGGACTGCTCGATATGAACACCTGCTGCCACCACCAAAATATTATGAATACTTTCCAAATAAAAATAATCTCGGGATGCCACTCCTACAGAAATTCATGTGACAATTCATCTTACGAAACTAATTAAAAGCATTAAAGCATAAGCATCACATCTTGAAAGTTTTTAAGAAAAATATAAACTTTAATTCAGTGTCCGATTCCTTAACTTGACAGATAATATTAATGTTTTGTATTCAAAATGAGAAATCGTTACCCTCAGCCTCCCCAAACTTTTTCATGTATATTTTCAGGTGTTTCTTTAGTTTGCGGACCATTTTGTCCTGTTTCCCCATCTGCTCCAAGAGGTCCTAGAATTTACACAAATCATTTTAATACAGAAGAATATTTACTATGATATATTAAAATGCATATTTACCATATTTTGTTGCGTGAGGCGACTGATCTCGTGCTGCAGGCTTGCTTGTATTCGAGCATCATGTGGAAGCTCCAAGCTATCTGACAGCATCTGCTGCTGATGACCAAGCTCCGCCCTCAACTGCTGAAGCTCCGCCCTCAATCCCTCCACTTCCTTTTCATGGGACTGTCCCTGAGTTTGCAACTGCGACTCTAGAATCCTGCAAAGAGAGAGAGATCCAAATATCATCCAAGATATACACTAAGCCAGTGTTATTTTAGTATCACTGATATACTATTAGTTTTCGTTAATATTTTGAATTCAATTTTATTTTTATATTTTATAGTTTTAATTTTTATTTTGGTTACATTTTTTATAATTTTGCTGTGTTTTTGTCATATTTATTAGTCTATATAGCTTTTATTAAGTTTTATTTTATTTTATTTTGTTTTTAATTATTTTAGTACTTCAACTTAAACTAAAAGAAAATGAGAAACGTCGGCAACTAGCGAACATAAAATAAGTTTTGATATATTTTACATTATTTTAGCTAACATTTATTTTATTGTTCTTCTATTGTTTTTTAGTAAAGCCTTTTAGTGCATATGACATGATATGATTTTGTTAATCATTTTTAAAAACATTTTTTGTTTTTTTTACAATTTCCTTCTACACAAATGATGTGTTTTCATCAATACTCAGAAACAAAAAATAATAATTTCAGCAGTTCATACTATTTTCCCTAAAGGGGGCATTTAGCCCCTTTGTTTACCAATATAAAAAGATGTTTCCACTTAAAAAATTATGTTTGTGCAAATGGTGTGTGCAAATTAGTGTATGTGAGAAAGAGTGTCTTTGTACATTAAATTTATTTTATTTCACCTGTTAGTTTCCTTCAGGCTCTCATAAGCCATCCAGAGTTCTCCATCCTCATTGAGCTCATGAAGGTCCAGTGTGGGGGATCTGAGAGAGAAAGAGTTATGATTTCCATTATAAGGAAGAATGCATGTTACAGACTGATCATGGATATAATGATAGTAAATACAAATTTATGGAATATGAAAGATAACAAACCTGCTCGAGTCACCTGAATCTCCTTCAGTTCCTGTTTCCTGAAAAAGAAATTTATATATATATATCTTAATTAAAAATAATTTTTTACATATTGATTGTCAAATGGCTGAAAAAAGTTTGCACACTACCTTATGTTTAAATGCCTCGTGGTTGACCAGTTGAGAGCGCAAAATGAGCACTTCCTCCTTTCGCATTTCAAGCTCTTCAGTGGTGGAGTCGAGCTGTTCGAGGAGCACGTTATATGCTTGACCTCCAGGGGACGCCACCTTTGACCCCGACCCCTTACTGAGGGACTGACAGAGCTCCTGCAGATCTTTCTTCAGCTTCTTATTGTCAGACTCCAGCTCCTGACGCTGTGAGCACATCACAACACACACACCTATATATTTCTCTGAATGTGTAAAAGACAAACACAAGAGTTTTTCAGTGTGTAAAGGCGTGTTTTTGGTACCTTCAGAGCCTCGTAGTCTCTCTCAGCCCCTAACACTCTCCGACAATCTTCCAGTTCCTGAAAACACAAAGAAAGATCATGCGTGACTTTCAGTACATGACAACAGAACTTCATTTTTGGTTGACTTAAACTGAGCTGTTTTTGGTTCTTACTTTAGTTCGTTCCAGTTGTAGCTGCTCTTCTTTGGTGTCCATCTCACCCTGCAGGTCCATCTTCTCCTTCTCCAGCTCAGCGACTCTCCTCTGCAGCTTCAGCAGCAGGGACACATCAGCTGCCGTCTGCCCAGCATCCTAGATGCACCAAACACAACCATCAAATTCTTTCATGACAGATAATCTAGGAGAAACTTAGAAGTCAAACTGCCTTTGGAAACGGACCTCTCTTTCCAGCGAGCTGACCTCTGACCCTGTGAGCACAGAGCTGTGGACGATCTCTGATTGGCTGCTGCTGTAGCCAGAGTCGGCTCTGTTATGACCAGGTTTAGAGAGCTCCTTTTTTAGAAGCACAAAATATGTTACAATATTAAAAATGTGAAAAATAGCACTGTATTAGGAAAGTTGTAGGAAAAATATTTTTCTTACTTCAGCCGCCTCTTTTTCTGATCTCAGATCAGCGTAGCGCTCCTCCAGCTTCAGGTGCTCGGTCAGAAGGTTCTGGTAACGGAAGCGTTCCTCATTCATCTGTGCTTGCAGGTGCTCTGTGGCCTCCTCATGGGTCGACTCTGACTTCTCTGTTTAAGACAATGCAGATGACAACTGCTACATGACTTTCTTGGTATGTAAATACAGTTTCGTACATTGTTAACCACTATATAAAAAAGCTTGGCAGATAAACAGATCCACAGGTCAAGTAACTACCAGTGAGATGAATAGGACTGCTAAAGAGTAACTTCCTCCACAAGGAATACAGATACTCTTGCCCAAGCCCTCACCAACCACAATAGCATTACTAGTTAAAAGGTTGGAGCTTTCCTGAGCCAAGCCAAAACAGCGTGAATCCACCTTTTATCTGCTGCTCCTGTTCCTGGATCAGTCTGTTCATCTCATCTTTAAGAAAATACATTTCCAGCCGTTTATAGGCCTTATTCATTATTTATTTTTATTCAAATGTGTTATGTAGGCTATATATATATATATATATATATATATATATATATACTCTTACAGTCACCAAAGCTGCATTTATGTGATCAAAGATACAATAAAAACTGTTAAAATAGTTAAATATTATTATATTTTAAAATAACTGTTTGCTATTTTAATATATTTTAAAATGTAATATATTCCTGCAATGGCAAAGCTGAATTTTGTGCTGCTTAATATTTTTGTGGAAACCGTGATACATTTTTAGTAGGATTCTTTGATGAAGAGAAAGTTCAAAAGAACAGCATTTATTTGAAAGATAAATCTTTTATAACATTATAAATGTCTTTACTGTCACTTTTGATCTTTTTTGATGAAAAAAATAAATGAAAAAACTTTTGATGAAAAAATGAAAAAATACAATTTATATATATATGTATATACTACTGTTCAAAAAATTTGAGGTGACAAGAGTTTTTTTTGGTCACTAAATGATGATATTAAAATCACACACTATTCTAAGTAAATAATAAAAAATATATTCATTTTAAGAAAACAAATAAATAAAACCTCTTTGTTCTTCTCCAGCTCCTGACGGACCAATTCCAGCTCCTCCTGTAATGATGTCACCAGGTCTCCTCGGTGACGGGACTCCTCTTCCGCATCTTGAAGAGTCTTGAGCTGCAGGTGCAACTTCTCCAACTCTGTGGCACTGTGGCTCTCCATTTGTCTAATTTGCTCAGAAAACTCTCGGTTCTCCTTATGCTAATGATACATACAAACATTCTGTAATTCATACATGGGTTACTCATTATATATCAAGACAGATGACGATAAAAGAGACGAAGGATACCTGCTCATCCAGTTTCCTCTGCAGCTGCATGATCTTGTTCTCCATGCCGAAGTTGAGCTTCTTGTAGTGCTCGACTGATCTGGCTTCAATCTTGAGTTTCTTGAGCTCTCGACGGGCCAGCATCCTGCGCACGCAACACTGCAGATACACCACAGCCCGCTTGATGCGACGGAAACGCCAGCGGGCCAGGAAGCCACGCACCCAGCGCTGGATCAGTAAAGCCTTGTGTTCACACACCAACTGTACAAGAAAACAAGATGACAAGCTCTATAAAAGTTGCTTTCATCCCCAATCCAACATGAAAGCATTTGCAACCCATGTTACTTCCATAATGTAACATTCCTGATTGAAACAGTGTAGAGAGAATTTGACTGGGAATCATGGGAAGATATACTAGAATGGTACTAGATTTAAAGAAGGTCAATTTATTTCATGTGAGCTTTTGAGCTGGAAATTTCATAAAACAAAAAATGTTAGAAAACAGCTGATCTCTTTGGCTGAAAATCAAACTCTAATTTAATTAAAAAACTTCATTTACAAAAAAAAAAAAAAGTCAAATTTTTATATATAATTATTATAAAAGTATTTTATAATATACACTACCATTCAAAAGTTTTTAAACAGTGATTTTTTATGTTTTTTTAAAGACGTCTTCTGCTTCTGCTCACCAAGCCTGCATTTATTTGATCCAAAGTACAGCAAAAACTGTAATATCTTGAAATATTTTTACTATTTAAAAATAACTGTTTTCTAACTGAATATATTTTAAAATGCCATTTATTCCTGTGATTACAAAGCTGAATTTTAGCATCATTACTCCAGTCACATGATCCTTTACTAGTCATTCTAATATTGTGATTAAATATTACAGAAATTGCCGTATATATCTATATCAAAGCAAATTACATTTGTTTGACAATTTAGCAAATATTACAACTATTTTCTATTTGAATATATTTTAAAATGTAATTATATAATTACATTATTCAATAATTATTCTTGTGATTTCAAAGATGAATTTTTAGCATCATTACTCCAGTCACACTATCCTTCAGAAATCATTCTGATATTCTGATATTCTGATTTGCTGCTCAAAAAACATTTATTATTATTATTACATTGAAAACAGCCGAGTAGAATTTTTTCAGGTTTTTTGATGAATAGAAAGTTCAAAAGAACAGCATTTATCTGAAATAGAAATCTTTTGTAACATTATAAATGTCTTTATCATCACTTTTGATCAATTTAAAGCATCCTTGCTAAACAAAAGTATTAATTTCTATAATTTCTCTCCGCCCCTCAAAAAAATTATACTGACTCCAAGCTTTTGAATGGAATAGTGTATAATGTTAAATATCTTTTTATTTCAGATAAATGCTGATCTTTGGATATTTCTATTCATTGAAGAATCCTGAAAAAAATGTACTCTACTGTTTTAAATATTGACATTTTAATTTAAAAAAATGTTTCTTGAGCAGCAAATCAGCATATTAGAATGATTTCTGAAGGATCATGTGACACTGAAGACTGGAGTAATGATGCTGAAAATTCAGCTTTGATCACAGGAATAAATTACATTTATTTATAAAACAGGTATTTCAAATAGTAAAAATATTTCAAAATTTTACTGTTTTTACTGTACTTTGGATCAAATAAATGCAGGCTCGGTGAGCAGAAGAGACTTCTTTAAAAAAACAAAAAATCTTACTCTACTTTTGGCTGATAGTGTATAAATTATAAAACAATTTTATATATAATTGTAGAATTTTAAGAGGGAAACTGCAGTAGATAATAAATTCAAAATGTTAAAACTATTATTTATTATGAAACAGAATTCCTGGTGCATGCCATCATATCCCTTTTCATATATTTGCAGCGAGCTCTGAAATAATTTCACTGCCACTTTAAATGAATGAGAATTAGCATTTCTCTGTACTAAGAAATAGCTGATACTCATTCCTGAAAGCCTGATTCTTTTTTCTTCTTGCATATTTTTAAATTTGTGATTACAAGCCTATATTTAACTGCTTTGCTACACCACAAAAAACTTGTCTGCGTACCCGTTTGTACTCCAGTCTGGCTGTATAGCCGCGCATTAACCTCTGAATGAGAGCCGCTGCTGCTTTCTGTCGCAGGAACTGTCGTCTGACTGCCCACATGCGTGTGTACTTCTGGAAGATCACTGCGGCCCGCGTCCTTCTCAATGTCTTGCACAAGCTAAACGAGGGTAGATAAAACACACTGTTAGTTTAGTTTCCAACCTATAACTTTGTGACATGAATCAAACGTAAATTGAGACGAATTGTAATTCAGTTAATCTACAACATTTGAGTGTGACGCACCATCGAGCCTGGTGTCCTCTCGCGTATCTCTGCAAGGTAATGGCTGCTTGGCGAATACGCAGGTATTTCTTGCGGGCGAGCCAGCAACGGATAGTTTTTTGGATGTGGATGCAGGCCGTACGGAGTTTGTCTGCCCTCAGTTTTTCCAGGTAAGCCACCTGTCCAGCCCGGAAGAAGATCTTTGTTTTTCCGAACTGGTATTTATCTTTGTTCTGCAGAGGGGGGACAAAGTAACATTAGACTGTTTAAAACCTTAAACCAACCTAAACTGGTTTGTAGGTGTCGGAGCATGGTCATGGTTTAGAGGGGTTTTGGGCACTTTTTAGAGAGATAAGCTTAAACCAGCTTAGACCATCTTAAACCAGCCTAGGTAGTTCTTTTTTGCAGGATGCCTGCTCTTTGTAAAGAGAAAGTACAAAAACTTCTGCTTATGTTTACAAAGAGAAGTGTGATACCTGCACAAGCCGTTCTAGAACACTCTGGCAGGTCAACTTCCTGTCTGAGAGGATTTCTTTCTGCCTCATTAGAACACGATAGCGACTGAAGAACTCTTGATAAGTCCACCTGACCGGAGGGAGGTAAAGATGTATTAAAACGCAAACAGATTCCAAATCAGTTAAGGCATTTAGAGCTGGATTAGCAGAATTACATTTTCGCAGATCTAAAGTAGTTTTAAACTTGAATAAGATTAATGAGTATTCTGTTGTAAGATCACCAGTTCAAATTTTTTTTGATTGGTTCTTTTGAGTTAGTCACATCTTCCCTTGAATTGGTCGCAGCCAATCAGATTCCAAGCAGAAGGGACACTGGGAAGACATGCGAGTTATTGAATTAGCACCTGGAAGGGAAGCCTGTGGCTGAGATGCGAATGGTCTCGAGGACTCCACACGCTCTGAGCTGCTGAACGGCTCGATGGGGGTCCATCCTACAGACAGAAAGAGAAGACACTATAGTGACCCATATTACATAATAGTGGATTATGTCTGAAATCAGCTTACTGACATGAAGGGGGCTTTAACATCATTTGGTTTGACACAGCGCACATAGTGTGGGGTGGTGGCGTTCAGTGTGTCCATAAGCAGGTGCAGAGAGTTCCGGAACTTTAAACGGGAGGAACAAAAGCATCAGACAAATGACACTGTGATTTTCTGTGAAAAGATCTGGGTGGATAATATCTGTTTCAATAGAGCACAACAGCGACCGCCCACTTTTCCCACATTTTCAGCAGCCTTGGTTATGGGAGCATTTTTCCCATTCATGTTCTCCATGATTTATAGAAAAATAGTATATGAAAATTAGGGAAAAATACAAAGGTACAAGACTGTCAAGACTGAGACAATGAACTACAATTCCATAATGCATTGCTAATGACAAAATGGAATCAAATACAATGAAACAAAATAAAACTACAAATTTATTATCATTGACTTTAAGAACAAAACAAAACAATGCTTTAGAAAGTTTGGAGCCAGTAAGATGTAAGTCAGTTAGTCTCTTATGCTCATCAAGGGTGCATGTTTATTTGATCAAAAAATACAGTAAAAACAGTAATATTGTAAAACTGTATTATTAAAAATATTTGTTTCTATTGTAACATATTTTAAAATGTAACTTAATATGCTGATTTGGTGCTCAAGAAACATTTCTTATTATCAAGGAAGAAAAGGTAGTGATGCATTTCTTCAGGATTCTTTCATGAATAGAAAGTTCAAAAGAACAGCATTTATGTGAAATATTTTTTGTAACAATGTAAAAGTCTTTATTGTCACTTCGGATCAATTTAATGCGTTCTTGCTAAATAGAAGTTTTTTTTTTTTTTTAAATCTCACCCAAACATTTGAATATATTTGACTATTAATTTAAACCGTTTTGTTGTTTTAAATATAACATCTGAGCTCACAGTCAGTCTGTCTTAAAGGGATAGTTCACCCTAAAATAGTAAGGCCTTCGTTCATCTTTGGAACACAAATTAAGATATTTTTAATGGAATCTCTGACCCTCGCATAGACAGCAAGGATCCTAACATGATCAAGGTCCAGAAACGTAGCAAGGACATCGTTAAAATAATCCATGTGACATCAGTGGTTCAACCATAATGTTATAAAGCTACAAGAATACTTTTTGTGCGCAAAGAAAACAAAAATAACGACTTTATTCAACAATTCGTCTCCTCCGCGTTACCCTATAGCACCATTTTGAATAGTATCACATACGTAAACAACATATGCAACGTTTGTATGCGGATACGTTGTTTAGGTTCAGATCAAAGTGTAAACAACGTAAACAGTGTATCCGCGTACATACTCTCCAAAATGGCGCTATAGGGTGACGTGGAGTAGGGTTGTGACGGTGAGGAAATTTTCCCACCGGTTAATCGACGTGTGACAACACCGGTAATACCGGTATCACCATGGGGGTGGGGGCGTTCCCTCTTTTCCTAGCTTTCCTTTGCTTTTAAATGGCTTGTAAAAGTGGCGTGCCCATTTTACTTTCACTTTCAAACAGCGGCAATTCGGCGTAAAGCAATTGTTCGTTTTTAGTTCATTTGAATTGTCCCTCTTTTCCTCGCTTTCCTTCGCTTTTAAATAGCTTAAAAGCGCTGTGCGCATTTTACTTTCACTTTCGAATTAGCGGCAGTTACAGGAACAAAATACAACGTCAAACTCACTTTAGCATATATATAAAACATAGAACTTTTATTAACAAAAAAAATAAATAAAAATACACCACGCTATAGGGCAGGCTATGCCTAATATAAAATAACAAATAAATTACATAAAGTTTAAATAGGTATACAAAACTGGAAATAGGCTAAGTAAACATGTATAAACATGTTCAAGGTCCAGAAAGGTACCATGAACATCGATAAAATAGTCCATGTGACATCAGTGGTTCAACCGTAATTTGTTCCAAACTACAGAATCCTTTTTGTGCGCAAAGAAAACGTGGAGGAGACAAATTGTTGAATAAAGTCATTATTTTTGTTTTATTTGCGCACAAAAAGTATTCTTGTAGCTTTATAACATTACGGTTGAACAACTGATGTCACATAGACTATTTTAACGATCTCCTTGCTATGTTTTTGGACCTTGATCGTGTAAGGATCCTTGCTGTCTATGGGAGGGTCAGAGTGCTCTCAGAATTCATCAAAAATATCTGAATTTGTGTTCCGGAGATGAACGAAGGTCTTATGGGTTTGGAACGACATGAGGGTAAGTAATTAATGACAG